GTTGCCTTTGTCTTAACAAGCTTCTAGCCGAACTCTGTTGCATCCTTTGTGCGTAAGCAGTCCAAAATCTTTTGATTTCTTATACACTACTTATATGTATATACTCGTATATATATTTTTGCAATAGTTTTGTAGGCTGCTCCTTTCATTTTTTCGCTTCGTTCGTTGCGTATACGCCCCATTTGAACGTGCATTGAACTCGAGTAGATGTGGCTGCTGCTTTAGTTTTGATTTGATTCTTGTTGTTGGCCCTTTGTGTATTGTATTTTATCGATCGTTTCGACTTTCCTTTTTATTTTAGTAGTAGCTGCAGAATGTCTGTTGCGACTTGATTTATACGCTGAGTTGAGTTTAATTTTTCGACGTCACTGCCTACATACAAAATTGATGTGGTTGTTGTTGTTATTGCTCTGGGCGCTGTTTTGATTTTTTAATTCCCTCCATACGAAATTCCCACGCCAAAGGGTTAACCATCTTAGTCGAAGTGGCAGCCGTTTCTTTTCATCATTTTTTCTTTTTTCTTTTTGGCAGTCTAGCGCACATATGGCGCAAGCCCCACGAACCATACGAAAATGTGTTAATTAGGTTTTTATTTCATGATGCCCATGCTTTTTATAGTGCTTATATAGCCGAAGATTGTCGAGTCAGAATAGTCGATGATTTGACGCTTTACACTTTACAAAATTATTGATGGCTGACTGAGCTTCTCGAACATAGGAATAGCTCGCTTTGTAGCGTTTTATTGCTGTATCTATTGTTGCTGTAATGCTTGTTGTTGTTCTAATTATTGTGGTTAAATGCACAGTTGGATGCCTCACTCTTTTAAGTTCAATTATTGAGCACACAGCTTATCCCTGTTGCCTACTTGGAAAAGATAAAGCAGTTGCTTCTTCGCTTTCTTATCAAAAATAAGTATACATGGCGAATAATTTGAAAATGTTCACAACTTTTGACAACCAAAATCCGCACAAAAGCTACAAGTTAATTAGTTAATATACAAATAAAATTACTTTAGCATTGAACATTAAAAACATGAAATGACTCTGCGCTTAAGAAACTTAAATATTTGTTCTTAGCTTTTCTTTGCTTTTGTTACATATTTGCTTTTTACAATTATTACATTTTAATAATGTTTTATTCATGTCCCAAATATTGTGTATTTTCTGAAGAATTGTTCTTTTAATTATTTTAATAATCAGAGTGAAATAGAGAATTTTCTTTTCCTAAATGTAAGCCCGAATTTACGAATGCTCGTAGCTTAAGTGACTGCATTGATGAAATGCTTGTCATTGATTAATAATAAATTAATGAATGCGGCTTGTCGTTCAAACGAATGCATTTATAAATGGTTGTGTCAACGTGTTGATGTGTTTATTGTTGCAGGAACAACAACAGCAACTTCCACATGATCAAAGTAAATTGTTGTGTTCGCGTCTCTTTTTTTTAATTTTTTTCTTTGCATGTAGCTGCTTTGCATGCAAATGACATGAAAAGACGTAACAGGCATAAAAATAAACAATTTACAAAGCAAATATGTTGAATATAAGAAAATACTAATGCAATCGCAACAACAAAAGAGACGATGACAACAATAACAGCAACAACAACAACAACAACAGCAGCAAGTTGAGTCGGCAACGTTTTGTTCAATTTATTGTGTGAAAATTCGCATAAATTAAAACTGCGCTGAGGCATAAATATTATGCAAAATGCAAGCGCCTTGCCTCCAACTTGAGTGTTGCCCCCTTGGCAAGAACAACTAAGCACACACACATACACTAAAAACACACACATCTACATAGAGGCTGCTTATATAAGTCACGAGCTACTGCGGCTGCTAAGATGAGCCACTCAGCTGTCTGACCTTAACACAAGTATCCGTGGCTCTCTAGTAGTTGTAGACGTTGCATTATCCATGTGACATGCATTTTCAATTAACACTGTCAATGGGGGTGTAACCCCAGCAACAACAACAACAACAGCAACAGCAACATCTATGGCCGAATGTGACAAATCAAGTCAAGGTTGCACATTTAACGGCACATTAAGGCGGCAACGATGCGGCGCCGTCACCATTGCACAGTCGCTGCGGCAAAGTCCAAGCCCGAGCCTTCGAAATACGGCCAGTTGGAGGCGCCTCAGGCGACTAGGCAACGCAAACTTTTGCTAAAGTTTCTTGCCTTATAATTAAATGCAATTATTGAAATGCCAGCGGCTGTTAAACAGTCAACAACAACAACAACAACAATAACAGCAACTACGAAAACATAAATACATGTGTAAGACTGTTGCTGCTGCTATTCTTGTTGTTGTTGTTGTTTTTGTTGTTATTGAAACAGAACAATGCAAATTTTTAATTTATGTATTTTAGCCTGAAAACCAAACAAACGTCCGAAGCAACACACACGCACACACACACAGCTCGTCGAGTCTGGGGCAACAAAAAGAATTTGTTTGTACTCTACAAGGCGAATTTAAGTTACGACTTGTTGACTGTTTTCATACAATTCGGAAATTTAATTAAAGGCGGCAGCAGACAATGAGATGCGCAGCCATGAAGACGACGATGGCGGCGGCAGCCGCAGCAGCAGCAGCAACATCAGCGTCGCAGGTGCAGCCATTTGGCAATATGCAAAACGCTCCACGCTTGACCCTCACATGCTGGTGCGGCACACAAACAGACAGACGAACGGACAAACAGACAAACAGACAGACAGACAGACAGACAGACAAAGACGAACGGCCGCAGCGAATGAACGAGCGAGGCCCGTTGGCGGTCAAGTCATGTTGCAAAATGTTTGTACGAAATCAATACAATTGCCACCCAGAATGGCAGCGAGCGCCGCTTAGCCCTTCGGCACCCTACCCCACCTTCCTCCTGCTCCTGCTCCTCCTCCTGCCTGCCCTCCTGACTGGCCTCCTGTCTGGCTTGTGAACTTCAATGCCAAGCGGCCAAAACAATTGAATTGCATTTCATGCACAAAGCAATGTTGCGACGGCCACTTTAACGACGGCGTTTCAAAAAGGACATTGATGTGCTGCATCCTGTTTGCCTCCAGACGCCGTCGCAACCAAACTCGTTAGCCTATAAACGTGTACATGTATATTTATTTAAAAATAACTGGTAGTAGTAAAGTATAAGAGTCAGCAGTCGGCAGGCACATCAATTTTAATTTGTTGCATATTTTGTCAACACACACGGCGCATATTATGGATGTCAACGAAAAATCAACAAACACCCAAGCTTCCCCCTCCCCCCCTCCCCGGCGTATTCCCTCTCCGACTGTCGCTGCTGCTGCTGCTGCTGCTGCTCAGCCATAAAACTGTGTGACTCCAGCTGTGAATTTCTTGGGAATTCCCTCGTTTGCTGCCACAATCTCTGCCTCCTGTGCCTCACATTCCTTGTTGCCTGCCCCGTCTCGCGTCACCTCAGACTTCTCTTCAGCTTAATAATGGTTTATTTATGTTAATGTTATGCAATCAAAATGCATACGATTTAAATGGCAATAAAAAATCAACGCACCACAGATGAGACAGTTGACTAAGACAACACGATAGTGTTCCATAGGCGAGGGCGTGCTTAACTAGATAGATGCCCTGCATTCCCCGAATTTTGGTAACTAGCTAGTAGCTACTATACAAGTAGATCTTAAACATTTGACTTGTATTAACCAGTTTTTCTTCTTCCTTTGATTTCTACAATTATGGGTTTGGCAACTATTTTACAGATACTTCAAACTAAAACTTTGTATCTACTATGAAGGCTCATTTAAGATCCCAGATTGTTTTGGAATATTTTCCGATTACTATTTGGTATTTATTTGTTTTTGCTTGCTCTTTAAAAAATAAATCTTTTGTTCTCCAATCCAACTGTCAAGTCTGCTATTAGAATTAACATATCCTTTAGTTATAGAGTATTAGTTTCTGAGGCGAGCAAGCCAAAACACAAACCATAAACAAAAAAACAAAACCAAAACAAAAGGTTGGGCAATAAAACTGCATTTAACAGTTTCTTGCTGTTATTGTTGTTGTTCAAGCTTGTTATGGTTGTTGTTCAGTTTTTACGCATGTTTAATAGACTAATTTTGTTGCTCCCAATTTTTTGTCCCGCTCCCACACACGCACGTTCTCCAATCGATCCCCAGACAATGCAGCGTGTGAGTTCGTTGCTTAAGTCTTTCGTTTTTTTTTTTGTGTGTGAGTTGCTTGTTTTCTGTTGGTCTTTTTCGTTGATGTAGTTGGCGCCACTCACACGAGTATGTGTGTCTGTGTGTGTGTGTGTGTTCGAGTGTGTGCTTGTATGCTGCGTTACATATATTTTCATAGTTTGTTGCTGTTGATGCTCGCGCCCGATAAAAAACGATAATGTCCACGGTGCGACAGACAAGATATTGTTTGTATGTACATAAGTTTTTACTGGCAGACAGACTCAGCTAACCCAGACCCAAACGCACACACACATACACACATACACAGACACGGACACACTCTCGCTCTCTCTCTCACATATATGTTTATAGAAATGCATCTGGGGGCTGCTTGATTATGTTTTTAGTGCGTTAAGTGATAATGATGATGCGCGTTGATTTTTATCGCCACGGCGCAGCATTTTTCTGTTAAGGTAGAGTTCGAGCTCGCAATCAAGGCTCTGAGCCAGTCGAACTGGCCAGAGAAAATGATAATTAAATATGCATGCGTGTGTGTATTTATGTGAGTTTGCTGCATTCTGTTCTTGGAATTATTATGACATTTGAGAACTTTCACGCTGCTTTTATGGCTTTTGGCGACAGTTTGTATATTTGTGTGTGTGTGTTGGTGTGTGTGTGGGGGCAGGCACAGCTTGTTCAGCAGATTGATGCCCCATGATGATGACTTCCCATGAAAATTATGAAATTTATTGGTTAATTTGCGGCAATGTGTGGAAGCACGTTGACGCAGAACCAGCCGTTGGGCGCCTTCAAAATTATGTTGAATTTTTTGTGATTTTATAACCAACTTACCAGTCTTCGCTTTGGCTTGATCAACGGTCGGTTTTGGCCATTCATTTTGTAGTATAAGCCACAGGCGTTGCACAGATAGTGGCCAGTGCCATCACGTCGCCACAATGGCGTTGAGGTGGCACCACAGTTCACGCATTCCCGGCCCTCTGCAAATAGATAGCAAATAGAAAATTATATATAAAGTGGCGTCTGATTAGTTTTCAAATAAGAGCAACCAACAACAGAATACCCAACTTATTTACTGAGTTAATAGTACACCAAACTTTTCCTCAGAAGTGTAATTGTTTTTCCAACGTGGAAAGTAGAGAGTTGTAATGACGAATGAAACAGATAAATGATTAAGTTGATTTCTCATTAATTCACATTTGCTGTTCTATTTGAACAAGTAATGATTTCATATTTATATGTGATTGCCTTTTAAGTGAATGAATTGAACATATTTCAATTCTTTTAAAGTGTAAAATTTATAAAAAGTTTATAATAATGGCAAGCGTGAATCGACACAAAAGTAGTTTTGTTTTCCATGATTTTTGGTGACCTTTTAAATCAGTTTGGTAAATTATTCGCCAAGGTTTCTAGCGAACAAATATTTATTTAAAATATATATTCCAATACTTGTATAAAGTCTCAAGTTCCAGTGTTCCAATATCTTAAGTTTTCGATTTTTGTTATTGAATATTTTTATTTCACTTCTTTTTCTTAGGTAACTTGTTTAGAGTAGCAATATATTCCATTCCTATATTAAAATATTTAACAATTTGCGGCTTCATACACGCCTTCAATGAATAATGAAAAAAAGTTGCCGAACTACTGGGGAGAGGCGCGTTTGGTTTTCAGGCAACAATGTTGCCAAGCCGTGCAAAATAATGGGCCAGTCTAAGCGCGCGCGACAACAACAACAAGAACAACAACAACAACAACAACCAGTAAAACAACAACAGCAACGAACGGCAAGCAACAACAACAATACGAACAACAGGAATAGGAACAAATTTTTCAGCTGTTTCTTTGGTTAGTCAGTGAGTCGGCAGTCCAACTGTCCGCATGCCCGCCTGTCCGCTTGTCTCTCCATCTGTCTGTCTGTCTGTCTGACTCTCCGAGTATATGTCGGTGTGTCGTTGGCTCCCCAAGCCTAGCATTTTGTATATATTTTTGTAGGTTTTGGCTTTCTTTTTGCGGCCTTTTTTCAACGCTTGGCAAACGCATGGAAGCGGAAATGATGGATTCGCTTGGCTTTTTGCTGCAGCAACAGCGCCTCTGCGACTGCTTCGACTCTGCTGACTCTACACATTTTAATTAAGCAGCTGGCGTCGCTGCCAAAGTCAACGTCGGCGTTCTAGTTGCTGCAGTCGTCCCCAAGCTTGCGGCAGTAGTTGCTCTAACTGTTGTTCCTCCATTCCGACGAGCTGGTCCGAAACGCAACTCATTTAAATATCTTTAGACATAATTTGTAAGCGACTTGGCCTGACTTGGCTTCACCAACACACACACACACACACACACACTCCCGTCTCCGCCCCCACCTCTTCATTGTGTGGTGCCCGTCCTAAGCGAAATGAAGTTGCAAATGTAACGCGTTATTAACGTTCATGTTACAGTTGCGTTCAGTTTGTTGTCTATATGTATACATACATATGTATGTGTGTGTGTGTGCATTGTGTTGTGCGTATTGTGTTTATAATTTGACCTTTTTCATATATTTTTTTCTCCCATTTAATGACGCCACTAAATGGGCTTCATTATTTCGTTTGTTGCCGCGCTTGTTTTATTTTTTATGTTTTTATTTGTTACGCGCTGCTGTTTGTTTCTAATTTCAAATTGAAATTTAGTCATAAAACGTACCCCACACCAGCGGCACAAATGAATGCCAAAGTACACATACACAACTATGTATGTATATAGAGGGAAAGATTTAACGCTGCTTGACTTTGCTTTGCATTCCCGCTATACCTAATTGTGTTTTAAGGCATTCGCTTGAATGTAATAATTAATTAACGTTGCGCTTTACACGGCCACATAAGCATAACTTTTTATTGAATATTAGCGACACACCCTTTGGCGTAGCTTTGTGCTTTTCTGGGTGGGCATTTGGCTCATTAAGTGCGTTCGTTGTCAACTCGTTGCCTGTTCAAATGCCATTAGTGCCTCCCATTTGATGTTTTAACAAAACTTCATACTCCAATGTCAACCTAAACACTGTCCAGCGTTCAGTGGCGTGCTTCGCATGTCCTTATGTGTGGACTTCACGTGATTTGCGCTTTTTTTATAGTCTATACTATATACTCGTATAAAGAGTGGCCCTCCATCCACATGCGTTGCCATGTTCTTGTGTCTTCGTTGGCATGCCAAACATTTTGTTTTTGAGCTTTCAAAGAAATTAAATTAAACGTTCTGCGTGTTTATGGCGCACAGCTTGACCACCACTCTCTCATTCAATCCACTCCACTCCACTCCACTCCCTCAGTGCTCCACTGTACTGTACAGTGCTCATTCTCATTGCGAAGGCGCGTTAAATAAACAGTTCATTTGTTTTCATTTAATCATAAGTTGGCTTTGCGTTTGTGTTTGTTTTAATAGCGCGCTTCTTTCCTCATATTTTTTTGGTCGTCTTTTTGGACACTTTTAATTGCCGCACATTGTTGTTTCTGCTGACGCTTTGGGTGTGCCCCACAGTTTGTTTCTTTCTTTGAGCAAAAATTGCCGCCAATCAAAAATACAACACCCACAAAATTAAAGTTGCATAAATTAGAGCTACACATACGAAATACGCGTACCAAAATGAAATGTACAGTGCTTAGTCCTTAAAGCGTATACATTATGGATGATGAAGAAAGAACTGGCTTGAATGTAGAAATAGTTTTATACTTTTTAAATGATTGAAGCTCCGTTTTACGAACTTTTATACCTCAGTCTGTATGAAGGCTGGCATTCCTTTCGTCACCTTCCATGCATCGATGAACATGATATATTTTATTTTAAAAGCATTGCTATTTAGCTGATCTGTAGCTCAGAGCAAGTTGTCTCTCTTCATACAAGTACATAAGCAAATTGATATTTATATGTAGAAATTCTATCTTCAAATGGTTACTAATTTACTGTGTTGTAATAATATGTCGTTGTGTTCTAAATCAATTTCAATATCAGATTCATATTCGAATCCTTACACTTGGATAGGAGTGGAGTTTTAATTCCTTCCTAAGAGAAGTTATAAGTTGGAAAGACTTTTAAGCGAATTCAATGTTAATCCCTATCTAACAATTTGTTAGTTCACTTTATCGATTAGGCACTTTAGGGACTTTGTTTAGCTGGCATAGCATCTAACTCTAACAGTAGCCGTTTGTGTAAATTGAAAACTTTATGAATTTATTAGTTTGTCAAATGGTGGCGTTCCATTTCAGAAGTGGCAAGTGTGCCGAAGCTCCGAAGCTCCAACTGTGCAGCCGCGCGCTGCTTTCCGCATAAAATTTAGCGCCCATTATAAAGGGTTGGCCCAAAGAACTATGAGCGAGCAGCCGACGTTTGTTGTTCTTGTTTTTGCTGCTGCTACTGCTGTATGTTTGTTTATCTGCTTGCTTGTTAGCTTGTTGTATAAGGTCTTGGCAGCATATTAAGCCATAAAGTGTGCCAGCGGTGTCTCTTGGTAGCTGTTTTTGCTTTATTTTCAATGTCCCCCCTATGCCCTGTGCTGCCAGTCTTCTTCTTGTTACAACAATTCCAATGAAGTTCAGTTCTGAGGTTGAGGCTGTGGCTATGGCTGTGGCTGAGGCTGCTGCCGAGCTCCATTCCACAGCTAATAAATCAAACGTGTTAATGATGTTTTTACCTTACGTGCCCACTTTTGACAACAAAGGCAGCAGCAACAACAACAACAGCAACAACAATAAGCCTGACCACAGAGAACGAGCGATGCGACAACTATGGCCCCGCTCTCCAATGCGCACGCGCACTGTCATACCCCTAGTGTCCTCTCTTCATCTATCTCACTCTCTCGCTTCCTCGCTCTCTGTGCCTGTGCCTGTGTCTATGTCTCACTGTTCCTCTCACCTGCACTTGGGTTGGTGGCCTTTGTTGTTTTTTTTTTACAACATTTTTATTTGATTTCTGCTGCTGGTGCTGCTGCTACGATCCTTTTGTTGGGCAGTTAGTCTCTGCTCTTGTTCTCTCAAGCAACGGCAACAACGGCAACGGCAACGCTGTGTGTGTTTTATGGCCATTAAGCAGTTGGCTGCTTTTGTTGTTGTTGATTGTCTGCTTTGTTTTGATTTCAATTTGCCTGTCGCCGCTGCTGCTGCGTTCCCTGCTTGTGGTCTACGAATACTCGCATGTGGATGGCTGGCTGGCTGGCTGGCTGGCCTATGACAGTTTTTACTTTTTATTTATTTTCATTTCATTTTCTAAAAATTCACATGGAGCAGGTTAGCTCAAGTTAGGTCTCTCCGCTATGATTTAGTAGTCTCCTCTAACTGTTTCTATGCGCCGAGATCTTGTGGTATTGTGGTCCATGCGTTGTAATTTCTTGGAAATTTGTGCACACTTTGGTATTTCGTTTTCGTTTTAGAGTGCTCTTCTTAAATTTTTGGTTTTTCTGAATTTTCTCGGGTATTGTTTTATGGCCCGTGTGACAATGTCGCCGTCCTCGTCCAAAACTGTAGCTGAACCTGTTTTTAGGGCCTGATTTGGCATTAAGGTTGACTCAAGCACGGGCCCGAGGTCTAAAGGTTGTCGCTGACTAACTGACCAACTGACTAACTGACTAACTGGCTAACTGGCTCTGGCTCAGTGTCTTGTTGATTTGACATTTGGCGTCGTTGTCCATAATTGTCTAGAATTTATGTGCTGTACCTTTTTCTCGAAGGGGCCAAAACAAAATTCTAGTTAATTTGTATGTGAGAAGCAATGTGTGTGTGTGTGTGTTAGAGTGTGTGAGTGAGTGTGTTTAGGCACTACAGCTGCAGTTTAATTAATAGCTATAGTTGTTGCTGTTGTTGATGATATTAGTAAAACATTGAGAAGGCGCATTTAGCATACTTATATATGTATGTATAGAGTAGTAGAAGATAGTAGTTAAGAGACAAATTTACAATTACTGGTGAACAAGACAAAAGACACATGGATGTGTGAGTAAATAGTTGTTGTTTGAATTTGAATTTAAATTGTTGGTTTTTTCGGGTTAAATGAAATGAAAATTAATAAACCGAAATGGCACACAAACAATACAATACATATACAATATACAATATATATTTATATATCTATACATAAATGATAATGACTAAAGAAAAATGTTAAGTGAAAATGCTGTGGCATGAATAATTTACACGCGGCGTCGCGTCCGTGCCACGCATGCCACAAATAAACGCCAAGCGCCTCATTTTGAGCTCAGCTCGCACAGCTGTCAGTTTCGAACAAAGGAACAATGGGCGCACAAGAAGCTCATCCCTGCTGTTAGGCTTAATGCAGTGGACGGATCCATGGACTTGTGGACCACTGGTCCAGTGGACTTGTGGACCCGCGGACCCACAGACGCTGATTGAGTGAAGGTTGGTGCTGCTGCTGCTGCTGTTGCTGTGCTGTTGCTGTTGCACTGAACCCATATCAATTACTTAAAGCTCATTCACAACATTTTTTATTTTCACCTGACAAAAGCCAAAATGGCATCCAATCAATTTTGTGCAAACTCAGGCCAAGACAAGCCAAACCAAGCGTAAAGCCGAAGAGCACGAAGCGCTCTTCGAACTATTGATTGTTGACTGGAGCAGGAGGTGAGGCGGTGTAGGCGATGGACGAAGAAAAGGAGTTGCCGTCTGACAGTGGCAAAGGCAAAAGGCAACACATGTTCTTGCGCCCGAAAAACTTATCGCAGTCAGTTGCGATAAACGATAAATAAATACATACACGTAACAAGAGTGGGACACACACACACACACGTATATATGTACTACACATATATGTATATAGCGAGTGAGAGGGAGACAGGCAGTCGCTAGGAGGCTGCAAAGTTGAGGACAGACGCAGACGACTAACGACGACGATCAGGCAACAATAATGTCGCAGACAATTTTTTGGTTAGTTAAAAGGCTCGACTGGCTGCTGGCTGCTGGCTCTGTTGTTCGTGCCTTGACGTTTAAACAAAAACAAAATAAAAAAGAAAAAAAAATGCGAATAAGCCAGAAACTGTCGCCAGGCACTAAAAATGAAATAAAATAAAATAAAGAAAAGAGCGCACACAATATAACAAGCAAAGCATTTTGTCAATGCTCCCGCAACTGGCTGGGCCTCTATTGACTCCTTGGGCTCATTTGCCTGCAATTTTGTTGCCATGAAAGACTTAGGCGACAAACTTCAGTACATACTCTTATATTGGATGTAGAAAGAAAGCGTGCTTTTGTTTTTAGTATTTTGGTGCTAACAACAACAACAATAACGACAACAACAAGGACAAGAAAAGAAAGAACAACAGTGCGTAGCTGCCTACTGCTGTTGAACAGCGTGCTGTAAAGACACTGTTAGCTTTTCCAGTTTTATATGCTGGCTTGTGTAAGAGAGAGAGAGAGAGAGAGAGAGAGAGAGAGAGAGAGAGAGAGAGAGAGAGAGAGAGAGGGGGGGTGCAGGTGTATGAGTGAGTGTGCTTAGGGGGTTGCATGCAATGACAACAACAACAGCAGCTTTAACAACGGCAACTGCATGCCAGCGACCCTCACGCATTCGCCACAGAGCCACAGACCCACAGACCGACGTGTTATAAAGTTGTTCTGTTCTTGTTGTTGTTGTTGCTGCTGCTGTCGCTGCCGCTGCTGTCGGGCATGCGAAAACGCAATGCCAACAAACCGGCTGAGACGAGAAACAGCGAAACCGACAGAGACAGCGGCAGCGGCAGCGACGGCAACTGCGACTGCGACTGCGAGTGAGAGCAGGTGCAGCGGCAAACTTCCGCAGCTAATGTATGTATGTATTTTAAGTATTTGTGTGTGCGTGTGCTGTGCTGTGCTGTGCAGCTGTGTGTTGCTGTTGGTCTTTAAAATAGTAGCAACATGAAGTAATTAACAACGACAATACAACGACAACAACAACAACAACAATAACAAGCGTTGGAGGCGCATTTGATGATGACGCAGCTCAGCAATTTTTATGTTTCTGCCCCATGGGGATGGCGGCACAAAGGCAACAAGGCAAAGGCAATAAGCGAAAAAGCAAAGGCAAAGCGTTGACAATAGCAATGCAGCTTGAACTAATGTACAGTCAAGCTAAATGTTGACGAACAAACCTAATCGGAGTCGTCAACTGTTAGCAGCAGATGATAACTGAACAAACAATCTGAATAGCATAAAAGTTTTGAAAGACTTTTAAGCTTGGGACAAAGCCAACCGAATTATATTATGCGTTTTGAAGCTTTGAAAATGTAGTCAAAATAAGGGTTTGGTAATATAGAACTCTTAACTTGCATAGAACTGATCGAAAAAAGTACCCTTCTTTACAAATTTGTGGATCGCCTAGTTGAGGTAACGAGGCATATAGAGTTCTTCTGGGTATGTCCAGCAAACAGGCTCGAAAGAAATTAATTACATTAAAAACTTTTTGATAGCCACAAAGAGACACATTTTTGTAAAGCTCATACATTTTAGATATGTATGTAAACAGAAAGAAAAAGCCCCCAGCTAGCCCTACTTTTCTAATTTATAGAAGTCAGACTGTTCTCAATGTTGTTCTTGTTGTTATAGCTATTATCATGGTATTAGTGGATTTTGTTGTTGTCGTTATTATTATTGTTGTTGTCATTGTAATGCGCTGATTTCATGGTGAATGAGCGCGCGCCAGTCAGCAAATGGCAGAACAAACGACGTCCAATGCGGGCGCAGCGCATACTCGGCGTATACGCAATGCCAGCAAAACAATGCGAGTGACTTGGAATGCCGCCACAATTGAATGGCATGGCGAAGGGGCAAGGCATGGGGCATGGTGGTGGTGGTGGTGGTGGTGGTGGTTGCAAATGGAGTGAAGTGGGCGTATGCATATTAATTTTCGCAACACGGGAAGCGAATAAAAGTTAATTTCTTGTCTTTGCTTTCATTGTGCGCATCGCGGCAGATGGAAACATGTTTAAGTGGCGGGAATGTTGCGGCCGTCGTTGCAAGTAGCATGTAGCAAGCAGCAAGCTGTCCGCTGCACATGTCAAGTGCGTTGCTTGTTTACATTGCCAAGTGGGCAACAACAAAAACAACAAACGAGTGTGTATGTGTGTGTGTGTAAGTGTGTGTGTGTGTGTGTGTGCGCGCGCTTCCCACGTTGGCGTGTGAAACACAAAAGACATAAACCAACAAAAAATATAAATAACAACAACAAAGCATCAAAACTTAGGCATTAAACTAAGACTAAAGAATACGTATACACAAGGAACAACTAAATGAAAATATATTCAACGCTAAATTGCGTTCAATGTACAAAACAGTTTGTTGGTCTCGCAGAGAAAACTTCCGTTTTTAATATACTTGTAATCAATTTTTAATATTCAATGGAATATCTTACGATATTCTGTGATGCCTTTATTTGTTTAAAGCTCTGTTTTCATGCAAGACCAGCCAACCAGTTACAATAAATTAAATTCGATTAGGTTTAACAATTATTATTCACCCACACCACGTACAGCACCACAAATAATGCTCGCTCTGTACGCTTCGAATCGCAAATGTCAAATTTTGTCTTGCTTACCAGCACTGGTCCGGGGTTTCGTGCGCACGGGCTTTATGTCGTTGCTGCTGGAGTTGTTGTTGTTGCTGTTGCCCCCGTTGCCGCCATGCGGTTGCAGGCCATTGCCCAACATGCCGCCCATGCCGCCAGCTCCTCCGCTGCCACCATGCATATGTCCAGAACTAGCCCCTACAGCCGACCCGGACGCACCCACACCATGATGATGACTATGATGATGATGGTGCGCCGCTGCCGCTGCTGCGCCCATGCTATGCCGCACGGCGGCCGCTGCCACGGAGGAACTTTGGAACATGTTGGCCGCTGCCACAGCCGCTTGGTGCTGGGCCGCCGCATGATGGTAGGAGGCATAACTGGAGTCGTAGTTGTTGGCCGCCGCGGCCGCTGCTACCGCCTGACTGTTGGCGTAATGCGCTTGGGCCGTGCCATCAAACAGACCATTCGATGTGGAGGCGGAGGAGGCTGAGGCATTGCTGTTATTGTTGTTGTTACTGTTCTGCTGTTGTTGCTGCTGTTGCTGCTGCGGCGCTTGGCTGCCACTGCTGCTGTTGTTGTTGTTGTTGCTATTAGAATTATTGTTACTGCTTGAACTACCTTCACGCTGCTTGGGGGCCGACGATTGCGACTGACTGCTGGCATGGGCATGCGCCGCTGCTGCCGCTGCGCTGCTCCCGGAGATGCCGACGCCGACGCCATTTTGTAGCGCCGGCTTGATGTCCAGCGCACAACTGGCGTCCGTTAATGAGGTAGTGCCCGTCGCCTGCTGATGCATGAACGCGTTCATCACGGCCTACAATGAAAGAATTAAAGAGGTTGTTAGGAAGGAGTCATTCTACAAATGGTTGCCTCGCTGAAAGATTGTAACAGATCTATTAAACGCCCTCCAAACTTATCTTGAACAACACTATGGTGGGTCCATATCCTGATCTGTGTGGTATAACCTATCCTAATGGCTTTATCAAATTAATATTTTTTGTAAAAAGAAAACCAAAACAAAACACCTAGTGCCCAAAGGGGAGTAGTTCAATAATAGTTTTAAAGAGTGTTGTTGTTAATTATTATAATCTATTAATTCTAGATCTAAATCGGATTTTGTGGCTGTAGATTTGTGATTTTCAAATGGTTTTCTGAACCATGTAGTTTTCTTAACTTATGCAGACATAAATTATCCCTAAACTGCGTTTATTTTATTCCCTAATATTTTTATTATTAATTATTTGGATGTATCAATTCTGGACTCGTATTCTACATTTTTCAGATCGGATTTTGTGGCTGTAGATTTTTGATTTTCAAATGGTTTTCTGAGCCATGTAGTTTTCTTAGCTTTTAGGCAGACATAAATTATCCCTAAACTGCGTTTATTTTATTCCCTTATATTATTGTTTACTATATTTCTGTAGCCGCTGTAATTGGCCGATGGAATCAATAGCTAACTAGAATATATCGGTACTATCTGAATCTATCCTTGAAGATAGTTTGCACTGCTTACCTGATATTCCGATGGACCGGTTTGTACTGAATCGGGTGTCGAATCCTTTGGCGGTGTCGGTGGGAATGGAAACGAATGCTGGCCCGCTGCCGTTGTCTGATGACTCTGGCCCACTTGGCCGAGCTTGTGCTCCACCTGCGGCTCCTGCGGGCAAGCAAACTGGCCCATGCTCCAAGCGCTAGCGGGTGCAAATGATTTATGCTCGCTGGTCAGCCACGGGCTGAGCGGCGTATGAAAGTGCGGCCGACACACTTGCGGCGTGGCATGTGACGATGCCATACGGGAAGCTGTAAGCAAGCACATCAAAAACAAGAGAATTAATGCCTCGCATAAGGACAGGGCAGCTACATAAAAATATAAATTAAACTTAAATGCTGCATTAAATCAATTATGGCCAAAATTTATACATGAATTTGCGTACGTCCGTCCACATCAGCGTTGGCAATGCGCGCAGATTAGCCGCGTAAGCCGCAACCACCGGCACCACCACCAGCACCACCACTGCTCAGCTGTGGCCGCTGCCCCAATCACTGAGACCAGAAGCGATAAAAATTCATAATAAATGGTGTGTTTTACTTGAACTTTTTTGTTTTTTTGAAAAAGCGCAAAACGTTGGCGGAAAAGCTGAGGCATAATTTATGAAACACCAATCCCAATTCAACTGGGCAGTAAGGCACTGCGAACAGCAAAAACAACAACAACAACAACAGCTGTAACAGCTCACCACACAGCGCCAAAACGCTTGCGGCTGAGCTGAGCTGCCAATGCAGAAAAGACGGAGAACAGAAAGAATGGGAAGTGGAGGAGCGCAGGCACAACTCGAATGCAACGACTTTGCATACGAAACAGAAACGCGTCCGAAGCGTCCAGAGTGGCGGCAGCAACTGCTGTTGCATTGTCATAAATTGTTTAATTTGTATCATAAACAATCGCGTTAAACTTTTGTCCCAAAGCTAAAAAGATCGATCATTGGGTAGCTAAAGCCGCAGCCGCAGTCGCAAAACCAACGCCTGTTGTTCAGTGTTCCATTTATTGTTAGTACAGTAAAGCCTATTTAAGGAATTAGCTGAGCGCAATAGTTAAGGAGAGCTGCTCACTTAGAAGGATATTAAAGCTTGACGATTCGAAAGTTTGCAATTTTTTAAAACATTCTCTTAAAAGTATATCAAATAATTCGTATTTCTTGTTCATTTGTTCATTTGATAAATTATTTTTGAAATCATGTTGAATCATAAATTTTGGTCAAAGATTTTTAAAGAAATATCAGACAGCTATAAAAATAAAACTTATTTTATTAGAGAAAAGTACTTTAGCCAGAAATTGTGAAGACCTCCTAATCGAAATCTAGATGGATGAGAATATTTCAAATAGGTTTTAGTGTAGGGAGCCACTTGGATGGATCAATGGTGTCTTGTTTTAGAAGAAATGAGCATATCTATTGTGTCTACTGTAGCTCAGTTGTTCTACACACTGCGCTCTCTCTCCGGCCGTGCTCTCGCTCTCTCAAAAGTGTAGCCTAAATGTCTTGCACTGTATAATTTAGCGGACACCAAGTGAGATTTATGTGTTTAATGCTTCTGTTGCTGGCCGCCAATATCCTGCCCCATATGGTTGCCAGGTGCCCGCTCACTCGGTACGCTCGCTGACAGTGCTAGTGTGAGTGCGACTGCGACTGCGACTGCGAGGGGTGTTGCAATTGTTTGGGGCGCACACTTATTTTTATTATTATCATTAATATTACTTTCTGCTGTGCTCGACTCGTGTTTTGCTAGCTTTGGGGCTTTATTTTGATTTGTTTTTTTTTTTTTCGTATGTTTGTATGTAAAATTATTTTTGATTATGCAGCAGCCACCATTGCTGTTGTTGTTGCTGTTGCTGTTGTTATTGTTTGTGTGGCAGTGGTCGTCACTTGGCACAGCAGCTAGCGATTTGTTGCTGTCCTAGGAAGCAGTAGGTCAGCGGTGAGCCCCATGGACTGTACGAGTACAAGTATTGGCAGCCGGCCAGAAGTTCGACGCACGCTCTGATGGATTTGCCAGTGCAGGAAATTGGAGGCAGACACAAAAGCCCCAACAACAGCAGCAACAACAACGGCAACAATTTAATATCCAGCAAGAACAGCAACAGCAAAAGCCATCCGTGTGTTGTGTGCAGGCAATCAATGATCGTCTCTCGTTCGATCGCTGCCTGCGATAATATCCATTTGATTATCCTAATAACAGTGCTTTAGCGGCGATATTATATGTACGTGTGTCTGATTATAGAAATTATGCAAGACAACAGCAGCCGCAGCAGCCGCAGCATCGATAGTCGTCCTCATCTTGGACTTGTGGCAGTTGGAAGTTTTGGTTTCAGTTACCTTTGCTGAGCTCTCTTACCTTTGTCAGACAACAATACCACTAACAATGCCTCAATCAGTTGTTGCAGTTGTTACATGCAACAACACAATAAGAAACAATTTCACACTTTTGCGCTGCAACAACAATTGCAGTGATACAATCAACAAAATATACAGTAAAAGTTGCATAAAGGCAACCTCCACAAGCAACACGGCCTTCATAATTTCTTACTTTCTTGGCCATAGACTAGCTTGAATGAATTTTATTGACTTTTGGGAGCATGGGCTCCGACCTATTTAGATAAGTCATTCATGTAAATACAAAACTTATTACTGAAATGTTTGTGAAAGTTTACGAAACAAAAAAATTCAAAACATGACGAGCTCTGGATCTAATTGGAACTTAAAATTTTCGGCAACCTTCTGTACTTTGGAATGCTTTGCGCAAATGTTCATTTGTGCATGGACATCACTCATTCAATATTCAATCTCATTCATACCATGTTCAATAGCTGTCAATTATCACTGTACAAAAACTACAAGGCGCATCGTCACAGCTCAGATTTAATATGAAGTCGCTTCATATAATTTGGCAGCAGCGAAATAAGCGCGTTGGATACACCAAATTATAGGTGCAGCCACACATTCCCGTATATACTCGTACATGCTGCATACATATGTACATATGTACATACATATCGTGGGTTTGTACCAATTAGAAGAAACAACTGGCCAGTCAATTGGGCCCGACTTGTTGAAGGCTTTAATTGTGGCCCAAGATGCAGATCGAAAATGAAACGGAGTGCCTGTGTACGCACATTGCAGTTTAATTTGTGATGGTGTTGGTGATAAGCGTGGACTTTGGAGGGGGGCGGATAAGGCAGGGAAATGAAAAACAATTTGCAGACACATAACAGCGCTCTGTTAGATGAGTCAGAGCGCTCTGTTATGGCTCTTTTGAGGGTCTGGGACTTTTGCCTCGAGCTGAAATGTAAATCACAGCGGCCGGCTGAGCTTTTAGCTTTTATATAAAACAATTCACTAATAAATCAAGTTGAGTACAGCAATTAAAGTTGCAAAAAACACACACTCACACACACAATTACATGTTTATGCAAGCGACAACGACATTTTTGCTGTGGCGAGCTGGAGAAGCGATTGTCGGTATGCAAAGCTCGTGCTTGTGGAAAGCGATGCTTGTTGCCCTTGCCAAGCTGACACGTTCTACAGAACAACAACAATAAGGCAAAAAAAGAACAAAAATAACAAACAATCAGCTACAATAAAATCTGGCTTTAATTTTCTGTTGCTATGGTTGTTGTTGTCGTCGTCGTTGTATTTGTTGTTACGCTAAACGAGAAGCAGAACAGCAACAAAAACATTTGGAGTTTTAGCCTGCGCGCATGCGCTTGATTTCTTCAAACTGACAGATCAAAGCGCCAAAGCCGCCGCCAGAGTTGCCCTGTAAGCGTGTGTATGACTGAGCTGGCTCAGCTACATACATACATACAAAGCAGTGTGTGTGTGTGTGTGTGTGTGTGTGTAAAAGACACTTGAAGCCACGCTTGGACATTTCTGTGGCATTTTAAAAGCGTTTGACAGCACTCAACGCTCAGTCAGCAGCAAAAGTACGATCTGAAGACATTGCGAGACAGTTTTATGCCGTCTCTGTGGCTCTATAGTATGTGGTTGTATGTAATTGAAAAAGCTCAAGCCATGCTCGTTGCTGTGGGCTTTTAAGTCACTCTCGTTCTATCTCTCGATTGCCCAAAGACTTCGACTCCGGCCCCGGCCACGGCAAAAGCGCCTTTTAATTGCAGCGCCGTGCTACGTGAATGACATAATTAATTGTATGCGCAGCGTATTTAGCTGCGATCGACGCTAACGGCTTGGTCCGAGCTGACGGCACTCAGGCTGACGTGTTGGACATTTGAAGATGACATGCATGACATGCACAGACAGCGTCACATTGAGAGACAGAGAGAGAAAGACTGTTTTTAGTTATAATCAAAAAATTGAGAAAATAGATGGAATACGTTTGGTATTCCTTGCAGCTGCTAGAGTGACCAAAGCAATTCAATTAGCGAAATGCAATGGCCACAGAGGTTGCAGCTGCTTATCATTGGATAGCGGAAAATCTCTAGCGCACACACACACACCGAGAGACGCTCACAAAAGCCCGAGCATCCTTTCAAACCCCTTGCTTATCAGAGAGCAAAAATCTCTCATTTGAATGCTGCTGAATGCGAAGCGGAGCAGAGCGACACTCACCAAACAGGCAGCGGCATTGTAACCAAAAGCGCGAACATCTTGATAAGCCCAGAGGCGAGAGCGGGCTACAAATGAAATGTGAAAAATGTAACAGTTTCATACTTTTTGTTTTTTTTTGTTGGCTTGTCTTTTCTGTTCTGTTCTGTTCCTCTGGCTGACAAAAAAAAGGATTTGCTGGCTGGCAGCTCTTTGGTAAATTAAATTCACACCAGCCGCAAATAGAGAGAGGGGAAGGGGGGATTAGGGGTGAGTCGTTGGCGCCTTATCGTCAAGTAAATCAGATCCGCAAATGAGTGAAACGAGTCTCTAACTGACGGACAGACGGACTGCTTGACTGCTTGACTGACTGACTGACTGATATGTAACGTTTGTATGTGTTGTCAGTCGTCATTCAGAATCGATTTAGTGAAATTTCAGCTTCAGCTGCTTCCGCTCACATTAAGCAACAATCAATCATACAAAAGTTGGACAGAGAGAGAGAGAGCTGGCAACTGTGTGAGACTCTCCCTTAAGAGCATCTTGAGCTGCAACCCCTCGGCTGGGCACTTGCTTAATTTATAGCCAGACGGACGGACGGACCCTTTGTGGCGTCACTAATCGTGAAAGACAAAGACTTTTCACCTGCTCGGCTTCCCGTTTAGTTGTTGTATAGTAGGTGATCCTTCGAGGCGCGTGCCT